GGCAGTGTGGACAGACATACAGAGGACGTGGCAGTCTGGGGCTGAGCACACACAGCGTATGGAATAATGGCAGTGTGGACAGACATACAGAGGACATGGCAGTCTGGGGCTGAGCACACACAGCTATGGAGTACTGCATTGACCTGGTATACTGTGGCCACTTCCTCAAAGCACTAGGAAGACCCAGTCCCAGGCAGTCTGATGGCAGAGGCCTCAAACCCAATCACCACAAGAGGCTGCCTTGCATGAATATTTGATCTGTAGTATAAACGGCTTCATTTCTAGAATGCCTTTTACGAGCTACTACTAATTCTGAAGAGGCTTAACGTTGTAGACGCTAGTTGCATTTCAGTTGATTCAGATGCCAGTGGAGGTTAACGTGCAGAAAGCCTGGCTCCGGGTCAGGACCTCAGTGCTTCCAGTTCTCAGCCTCCGCCTGTTCCACATTAGTGATGAAACGGGACAGGGCAGGGCAGCATTTTTTGAGTACGGAACACACATTGCTGGTTGTCGGCATTTGTGTTCACAGAGTTAAGCAATATCAAATCATGTGTGGAAAAGCCAGTCTCGGATTTCAACACTGCAGCCAAGCAACACAAGGTCTTCAAAGCTGAACGTTCTTCTAACTGAATCTATTTTACAAACCATCTTCTTGTTGTGGCGGGAGATAGATACTTTCCCATTTACATTACAGAAAGGACAGAAACTTTCTGTTATGAAATGTGCCTCCCAATATTAAACAGGAATGAATTTAAAGAAATGTGGAAGACAGAAGGAACACAGACAACAAAAAACTGTGGAGATGGGACTTCGCCACAGGACAGGCACAGCGTGGAGTGTGGTGCGTGGCCCAGGCCCGTGGCCCTGCGCTCACCAGGCAGGGGCAGGGGGTCACAGGGAGTCCAAGCCTGCCCCAGCTACCCTGGAACTCTGTTGTGGGGAAGGGAAGGAGCTGGGATATGAAGTCAGATCCAAACCTCATTTCTACCCCTCCCCGCCCCACCCCCACCCCAGCTACGCAAACTTAACTTCCCTGAGCCTCCGTGGGCTTCTCTGATACAAATAAAAATAATAAAAATCTAAAAATGTTTCTCTGGAGGTAATCATTGGCTTCATGCTAGCTTGTTTTTTTTTTTTTTTGTTGTTTGTTTGTTTGTTTTTTTGACCCTCTGGCTTTTGTGTTCATATTTGTAAAAGAAATGACCTAGAGAGTCTTAGATTCCTGCCCCCAGCTACACCCTGCACTTCTTGATGGCTCGGTCTCGCTAAGGTTCCAGCTCTCCTTCCTGCCCTTTCTGGGAAGGTTCCAGCTCTCCTTCCTGCCCTTTCTGGGAAGATTCAGCCGTGGACAGCCACAGGCCAGGAAGAAGTAAAAGGTTCTGTAGGTCTCAGGAGATCTGATGACTATTCACCTGCCACTGTGTTTAGAGAGGTGGCCCAACATCTGACCCTCCCATGGCTGTTACCACCACAAAAAGTTGCCAGGAAAACAGAATTTTTAGGTTAAGTATGTTCTGTGCAATATTTAGAACATACACTAAAAATAATTCCTCATTTATGTGAAGTTCACAATTAATTGGATGCCTTTCATTTTCATTTAAATTAGGCGACTCTAAGAGTAATAGAAACAGTATTAGGTTACTGTGTTTTTCCTCAAATTAATAATGTTCTATTTAAGTCAGAAGAATATAGGTGTTTGCAAGATCTGGAGATTTGATGTGACCCTTTAAGAACAAGAACAGAGGCCGGGCGGTGGTGGCGCACGCCTTTAATCCCAGCACTCGGGAGGCAGAGCCAGGCGGATCTCTGTGAGTTCAAGGCCAGCCTGGACTGCCAAGTGAGTTCCAAGAAAGGCACAAAGCTACACAGAGAAACCCTGTCTTGAAAAACAAAAACAAAAAAAACAAAAAAAAAAACAAGAACAGAACTTTAAAAATGCTTAGGCATGAATGAGGAATACTTACTTAGAGTGATGAAATGATTGTAATAGCAGGTTTTATTTTAAAAGATATGATCCAGGCCAGGTGGTGGTGGACCATACCTTTAATCCCAGCACTGTAAATTGGAGGCCAGCCTGGTCTACAGAGCTAGTTCCAGGACAGTTGGGTCTACACAGAGAAACTCTGTCTCGGAAAACCAATATATATATATATGATCCATGATAATATATGATTAATAGTAAATCCATTTCTAACCAAAATCTCAACAGCATCTCATAGGAATCCTCAAATTACCATGCCAAAATTGCTTGTGGGAAAATGATCTATAAAAATTTTACACACACACACACACACACACACACACAGAGAGAGAGAGAGAGAGAGAGAGAGAGAGAGAGAGAGAGAGAGAGAGAGAAAGAGAGAATCATCATCAGAACACTCCTCTGAAACATCTTTCTTCCGAGTTCTTTTCACAAGTTCAATTCTTACTTTTGCGTAGAAGAGCCATGTGTATCCACCTGGATAACAACCAGAACCTGTGGGCTGAAGAGTAAAAGTCATTAAAAAAAAAATCAATGCCAAAGACATAAGTTGGTTAAGAACTGCAGCTGGGCAGTGGTGGCGCACGCCTTTAATCCCAGCACTTGGGAGGCAGAGGCAGAAGGATCTCTGTGAGTTCGAGGCCAGCCTGGTCTACAGAGTGAGTTCCAGGAAAGGCACAAAGCTACGCAGAGAAATCCTGTCTCTAAAAACCAACAAAACAAAACAAAAGAACTGCATCTTCCCTGGAAATATGGTATGTTGTGAAGTATATATCACCCATTACTGTTCTGGATTTCAAATTTTAAGGAGAAAATAACTGTTTCTTGAATGTGGTCTCAGTTTCTTGTTGCTGTGATGGAATACCCTGACAAACGTAACTCAAGAGAGAACGGACTTTTTTGGTTCACAGCTCAAGAGTACTGCCCATGACGGCAAGGAAGCAGGTGTTTGAAGCTCACATTTGAGGTCACATCACTTCCACAATCAGGAAGCAGAGAGCAAGGAATACTTATGCAGCTCATCTTGTCTGTACAGTCCAAGATCTTCTTAGCCTAGGGAATGGTGCCACCCACAGAGAACAGGTCTTCCTACCTCCATTAACACAGCCAAGATAATCCCCACAGGTGTGCCCATAGGCCCGTTTCCAGTGTGAGACTAACTTGCAATAAGTTGACAACTGAGATAACCATCACACATACACAGCCTGCCTCAATAGTCATGATTCTGGCTGAACAAACAGATCCAAATAGATGATCATTTCTCTTCCGTTTTTTTCCCATCCCTCCCCAAAAGGAACCCTGTTACTTTTCTTGGCTATCAGAGTAGATGGGACTATACAGAAATGTCATTTAAGGAAGTCTCTTTGCTCTAGGATACATACCCCATGCTTGTCTTTAAAATAAGGGAGTGTTTCCATTGTCTGGATTCCCTGGTGGAAACAGACCATCCTGGTGTGGGCAAACTTCACACTCAATCCAATCATCAGTTCAGTTGTTGAGATCTTATGAAAGACCCAGCCTGTGATGTGCTGGGAAGGCACTGATGAACCAGAGGGACCTGGTCTCCATCCCCATGGAGCCTTCACCCCAGTGAGCAAACAGGTGTTAAGATATAGCAGATAAAAGAGCTGAGGTAAGTGCAGAGAAAGGGACAGCCCTGAGGAGAAGGCGCTTCGTGGGAAGGACGAGCAGGAGTCGGTCAGAAGGAGAGCATGTGGAAGAGCACCCCAGCAGAGGGGATGCAAAGGCCCTGTGGCTGGCAAGAACTCCAAGTGTTCTGGGAACTGCAGGGTAGGTGGACACACCACCGTGGAGTAGGGGAGGAATGGGTGGGAGGGGCCGACGAGGGACCAAGGGGACAGATACAGTGGTGCTGGCATTTAACCCCTCCATCCATCTTTGACCACACTGAAGCCCTCAGACAGCAGGTTTGCATATTCCCAGGGGTGCTGTGGGTGAGGCTGCCTTCTGGGCAAGGGCGAGGATATGAGTTCACATTCTCAGCACCCACACGTCTGGCTAGATGTGTCTGCAATCCCTGAGTTGAAGGTAGAGACAGGTGGACACTGGCGCTCTCTTGCTAGCCAGCCTATTTAGAATGCCGGGCTTCCAGTTCTTTGAGGGACCCTGTCTCATGGCGATCGGGCAGAGTGATGGAGGACATCAGAAGTCCTCCTCTGACCTCTACATGAGTGCACATGTGTGCATGCACCTGCATTCACACACCACAGCACGCACACACATGCGCACACACACACTTTAAGTGAAAATATAAACGTTCCCAAGGAAAGTCTGATGAGAAGAGAGTGGAACTCAAGGTCATCCACATTGGACCAACACTCTTGCGTTTGCAGCTTTCCCGCCAGATTCTCATGAACAGTGCAAGCATGTAGCGGTGGGACAAACATCATTCCTTTGGTTGTTGGAGAGTTCCCCTGGAGAGAGCATTGTCTTGCTTATTTAAGGATTTTGAGTTGTTTCCAGTGTCCTGTAGTTGTGAGCAGTAAACACTTGGGTACAGGTTTTTGTGTGAATGTGAGGGTAAACGCCCAGGAGTGCCGTGGCTAAATCATTTGGTAGCTGTTGCCTAGCTTTCTAAGAGGCCGCCGAGCTGTCTCCTGAGTGGAAACATTGCCGTCTTTCATCCCCCCGGCAAGGTAAGAGTTGCTGTGGGTTTGCCAGCACTTTTTATTACAGCTGTTATTTCAGCCGCTGCAAATACATACATTACATTGTGGCTTTCACAAGGACCCCTGATATTGAGCACCTTTTAATTTATTTTTACCACATTCAGATAGAGAAGTGTCTGTTTAAATCTTTCCAACTGTTTTTGAAGATTAGTCCTTGTTCTTGAATTTTCAAAGTCACTTATATATTCTGGAGACCAATCCTTTGTTGGATATGTGTACATAGCCTCTTTTCACCCTCTGGCCAAATCTGGCAATTCAGCGTCTTGCTGTGTAGCCAAGGCTGGCCTCCAACTGGCAATCCTCTTGCATTAGCCTGCAGAATGTTGACATTATACATGTGCACCTCCACATCCAGCCTCAGGTAGCCCAGGCTAGCCTCAAACTCTTGATCTCTCTACCTCCACCTCTCAAGTTGCAGGATTACAGACATGCCTTAATCATGGCTGGTTTTATTTGGTGCTAGAGACAGAACACAGGGCCTCTTGTACGCTAGACAGACACTCTACAAGCTGAGCTACATCTCCAGCCATCCCCAGCCAGATTTTGATTAGACCCAACTCATGACTTTTTTTCTTTATGGATTATGCTGGGATGATATATCTAAGACTGTTTGGCCTACCCTGAGGTCTCTGAGAATTCTACGATTTAACATGTTCTTTTTTGTTTTGTTTTGTTTTGTTTTTTGGTTTTTCAAGACAGGGTTTCTCTGTGTTGTTTTGGTGCCTGTCCTGGAACTCACTCTGTAGACCAGAGATCTGCCTGGCTCTGCCTCCTGAGTGCTGGGATTAAAGGCGTGCGCCATCAAAATTCCATTATTTTAGCAGATGGAGAGCTGGCTGTTCTAGGGATATTTATTAGTCTACTCTTCCTATGGAGTTGAGTTTGTAACCCAATGTTTCTCAAGGATGAAATGTGTCCTGTCAAAAAGCAAAAGACAGTCAGCAGAGCTTTGGGATTCTCCTACACTTTGCATAACAATGACCACATATCCAGACAGAAGTGAGTGGGTAAAAAGTATATAAGCTAAATCAGCAAATAAAGACCCAATAATGGGCCTGGGAGAGGGCTTGGCAGGTAAGAAAGCTTGCCACTCAAGCCTGAGAACCTGAATTCAAATCCCACGAACTCATAAACATCTGGCTGTGGTTGCATGTGCACCAAAAATACACAGGAAGACCATCACTAGGGCGTGCTGACCGACCAGCCTAGCTCTGCATTCAATGTGAGACCGTGTCTCAGAGGAATAAGGTGGGCAGTGGTAGAACAAGATGCCCAACAGCCTCAGGCCTCCTGGTGCAACACGGGCACACCTAACCCCCCCACAATCACCTAGAAATGACCTCAGAGTAGTGTCAAGGTCAAGAGGGCAAGGAAGGGGCTGAACCAACATGAAAAGGATTCAGTTAACCATGCCTCCTAGTTCAAGTCCCATCACTTCACAATATCCTTGAATGGTGTGTGTGTGTGTGTGTGTGTGTGTGTGTGTGTGTGTGTGTGTGTGTGTGCAGTGAATTCAAGAGTGTCTTAGTTAGGGTTACTATTGTGGTGGTGAAACACCACAACCAAAGCAACTCTTACAAAAGAAAGCACTTACTTGGGGCCTTGTTTACAGTTCAGAGGCTTAGTCCATGATCATCATGGCAGGGAGCATGGCAGCGTGCAGGCAGACGTGGTTGGGGAAGTCATTGAGAGCTTCACATCCTGATCCACAGGCATCCAACTTGGTGTGGGCTTTTCAAACCTCAAAGCCCCCTCCTCCCCATGACACACTTCCTCCAACAAGACCACACCTACTAATTCTTCTAATCCTTCTCAAACAGTTTCTAGTAACTAAGTATTAAAATATAAGAGCCTATGGGGCCATTTGCTGTGGGATGGTCTATATGTCAAATTGCTCTGATTGGTCAATAAATAAAACACTGATTGGCCAGTGGCCAGGCAGGAAGTAGGTGGGACGAGGAGAGAGGAGAATTCTGGGAAGCGGAAGGCTGAGGCAGAGACACTGCCAGCCGCAGCCATGACCAGCAGCATGTGAAGACACTGGTAAGCCACCAGCCACGTGGCAAGGTATAGATTTATGGAAATGGATTAATTTAAGCTATAAGAACGGTTAGCAAGAAGCCTGCCATGGCCATACAGTCTGTAAGCAATATAAGTCTCTGTGTTTACTTGGTTGGATCAGAGCGGCTGTGGGACTGGCAGGTGACAAAGATTTGTCCTGACTGTGGGCAAGGCAGGAAAATTAAAGCTACAGCCATTCTTATGCAAATTACCACAAAGAGTTAACAATGCCTCTTCTCAAATAGACCTGCTATGATCATCCTCCTTGGTTTTCCCAGGTTACAGTTTTATCTGTGTACTTACTAGAATATCTTAGATACTCCTAAAGAAGAGCAGGGTATTTCCATGAGAGAAAAAAAGTTTAACCATTAGAAGCTGGGTGTGCTGGTGCACACCTTTGATCCTAGCACTCAGGAGGCAGAGGGAAGTGAATCTCTGAGTTCTATGCTATCGTGGTTACAGAGTGAGTTCCAGAACAGCCAGGGCTACACAGAGAAACCCTGTCTTGAAAAATAAAACAGCAACAACAAATGTTCAACCATTAGATACCATTTTGAGACTGGGTCTCTCTGTGCGGCTGTCCTGAAACTTGTTCTTTAGATCAAACTGGTCTCAAACTCACTGAGTTTCACCTCCCTCCCTCCCTCTGTCTCCTGGGTACTGGGACTAGAGGCATGTGATACCACACCTAGACTCTAAGTCTGAAAGCCTGAAATGAAATTTTGCCACACTTATATGTGCATTTCCTTTT